TGTTTTATAGTGTTGGAATCCACTAGATGGTAATGGGTATTGCTGCAAGAAAATAATGAATGCCTAAATAAGAAGCATAAATCTTCTTCAAAGGGTAAGAGATAAAGATAAACTGTAAATATCAACTCTTTGAAAAATGCATGAAAAGATGATATTGACAGATAATGAAATTTCCCACAAAGTTTTTTGAAGCCTCCTCATACTTCAAATACCAAGAGATGAACTAGATTGTAATACAGTAGCATTTTGGCATTCAAAATTTTAACATCCTTGGTTTCTACAACACAAGAGTACCCCAGTCCTGCATGTGAGTACAAAGACAGTGACCCAGAAACTATCTACTAGCTATATTTCAGGGCAGGATTATTATTTTCCTTAAAACTTTGCCAATTTGTAAGTAATTGAAAATTAGCAAGAAAACCTCTATGATTAGAGCTAGCATAAACTAGAGTAGCAACTCTGCAAGTCTGAATATAAAATCCCTATTTCCTTTACCTCCTCCTCTTAGGAAAGAAAATAGAAATTCAAACTCTGCATTGCAGCTAATGTGTGCTCAATGGATGAATGTTTGTTCTTCTCATTCCCAGTGCCCAGTAGGACCCTGGACCCAACCTTCCTCACACAATAATAAACTGAGTCATTCCTTACAAACACCACTCCTCTAAGTAAATAGGCCTAGTTATCATGGATTTTATTTGATGTTTATTTCACCTGCCCAAGTATTTTTTTTTCTTTATCTTTTCAGGTTTCTTGATACAATTTATGCATTTGGAATTAGCATATGACGGCTTGATTGCTTAGTCAAAAAACAAAATACATAAACCCAAACCACTGCTCTCAAGCCATTTTTTGATAGCAGCCCTACAAAGGATTTATAAGGTTATAAATGTTTACAGGAGCAGACAATTTCATCTTTCCTCTAGGAGCAGGTGATGGGTTTAAACTGCTCATTTTGCAGTTAGCAATCTAGTGCTTACCTAAGAGCATCAACCTTCAAAAATAAAATATGTATTAACTAATGCCTTCTAAAGGTTGGTCTGGAGTTTTCTTTTTCTTACCTTTACTTAAATTATTATTTTTTTATTAATCATTTTATTGGGGGGGCTCTTACAAATCTTATTGTAATCCATCATTTAATTGTATTACGCACACTTTTATTTCTAGAGTCCTTGGTACTAGTTCCTCTCTCCACCCCAACCCCCCTCGTGAATCCTTGATCATATATATTATTGATGTTACTTCATGTCTTACACTGTCCGTTGTCTCTCTTCACCCACATTTCTGTTATTCATCCCCCTGGGGGGGTGGGCTATATATCCAACCTTGTGATGGGTTCCCCTCCCTGATCCCTGGAGTTTTCTTTTAACTCTCTTCCCTTCATTATTTTCCCCATGCTATAAAAATAAACAAAATCAGCTTTAAACATGTAGAATTTTAAGCAAGAACATTATGTTATACAAGAGGGCTTCAAAGAATTCATGGAAAAACTCCACTATCTTTTCATTCAATTTTTCCACAAGCTTGGTGGTAGGGATTACTTATTGGACTACTAACTGTAAGGTCAGCAGTTTGAAACCACCAGAGATCCTCAGGAGAAAGACAGGGCTTTCAACTCCTATAAAGAGCTATAGTCTTGGAAACGCACAGGAACAATCCTATCCTGTCCTAAGATTGCTTTGAGTGGCCTTGACTCAATGGCAGTGAGTTAGGTTTGGGTCCTGTACTTCATTCATTCTGTAAATGCTATTATAGCAGATCCTTTTACTAAAATAAAGCTTAATTCATGGTAGATCAACCTTGAAGTTCAATAACTTAAGTGATAACAAGCACCAAAAATTGGCTTGTAATCTTAACATTTATATCTGTTTTTATATTGCTTCCTGGAAAAAAAATTCTCCACTATGTTAATGAGTTCCAGTGTAGGGTGTGTCCTAATTACTTTTTAAGATACTGATAGAGATAGAAGCCATGGAGATCACCAAGGAAATGCTGGTGGTGGTAGTGCCATCGGACTCAAGGCAACTACATGCACAACGGAACAAAACATTGTCCAGTCCTGCACCATCCTCACAATTGTTCCTATGCTTGAGCCCACTGTTGCCACCACTATGTCAATGAATCTCACGGAAAGGGCCTTTGTCTCTTTCACTGCCCCTCTACTTTACCAAGCATGATGTCCTTCTCCAGGGGCTGGTCTCTCTTGACAACATGTCTAAAGTCTGTGAAATGAAATCTCACCGTCCTTGCCTCTAAGTAATATTCTGGCTGTACGTCTTCCAAGACAGATCAGTTTGTTCTTTTGGTAGTCTCTGGTACTTGCAATATTCTTCACCAGTACCATAATTCAAATGCATCCATTCTTCTTTGATTTTCCTTATTCAATGTCCAACTTTCACACTGCATATGTGACTGAAAATATCATGGTTTCAGTCGGGTGCACCTTCGTCCTCAAAGTAACATCCTTGCCTTCCGATGCTTTAAAGAGATCTTGTGTAGATTCATCCAAGGCAATGCATCATTTGATCTTGTGACTGATGGAAGCATCAGCATTGCCAAGCCCAGCAAGTCAAAATCCTTAACAACTTCACTCTTTTCTCCATTTACCATGACCAACAGGTCCAGTTGTGAGGATTTTGTTCTTCTTTACAATGTGTTGTGTGCTAGTACAGGTACACTAGGGAAACAAATCCAGAGACACTCATGTGTGTAAGAGAAAACTTTATATCAAAGAGAAATTGTATATAAAGAAAACATCCCAGCCCAGCCAGATCAAGTCCTTAAGTCCGATAATAGCCCATCTGCCCGATAACAGTCTGTAAATTCCTCTTTAGACTCATGCAACACATACAATGATACTGAGTGCAGGAAGATGACAGGCCAATGGGTGGAAAGTCTTGTGGATCCAGTAGCAGTGGAAGCATCTTAGCATTGGCAGGTGTCTCCACGTGGTTCCTCCAGCTCCGGGGCTCTGGGTCCATCAGTGCAGCTCCACGTGGCTTGTCAACAGGAATGCGTAGCAGAGAGTGAGTGTATCTGGCATCCAGCAAGCTATTTATCTTCGAGCATCTCCAAATGAGGCCATCAAGCTGAGACCTGATTAACAGGCTAAACTCCACCCCTTCACTCTTAATAACCCCAAGTTGACACCAGATTATATAACTACCACAAGTTGTAATCCACACTGAAGGCTGCAATCTTTCATCTTTATCAGCAACTGCTTCAAATCCTCCTCACTTTCAGCAAGCGAGGTTGAGTCATCTGCATATGTAGGTTGTTAGTAAGTCTTCCTCCAATCCTGATGCCACTAACTTCTTCATATAGTCCAGCTTCTCTGGTTATTTGCTCAACCTACAAAGTATTGTGAGAGGACACTAATTTTAAATCATACAGTATGTCCCTTTACTGTTCACGCCACTGCCTCTTGATCTATGTATAGGTCCTGTATGAGCACATGTAGTGTTCTTGGATTCCCATTCTTCTCAGGGCTATCCTTGATCATAGCCTGTTATGATCCCCATAGTTGAATGCCTTAGCATGGTTGATAAAACTGAAATAAACATCTTTCTGGTATTCTCTGGTTTTAGCCAAGCTGTATCTGACATCAGCAATGATATCCCTTATTCCAATTCCTCTTTTGAATTCAGCCTGAACCTCTGGCAGCTCCCTGTCAACGTAGTGCTGCAAAATTTTACTTACATGTAATATCGATGATACCACACTCTGTTGGCTTATCTTTCTTTGGAATAGTAAGAAATACAGATCTCTCCCAGTCAGGTGGCCAAGTAGGCGTCTTCCAAATTTCATGGCACTGACGAGTGAGTGGTTCTAGTACTTCAACGGCTTACTGAAACATTTCAATTGTTATTCCATCAATTCCTGGAGCTTTGTTTTGGGCTGATACTTTCAGTACAGCTTGAACTTCTTCAATGAGCACCCCTGGTTCCTGTTTTTATGCTACATCTGTTGAATATCATAGGGTCAATTCCAACTCACAGTTACATTATATATAGTTTCCAAGACTTCGTAAATTTTGATGGGAGCAGACAGCCTCATCTTTCTCCCATGAAGTGGCTGGCAGGTCAGAAGTGCTTACCTTGCAGTCTAACAACTAACGGCGCCACCACAGCTCCTTTGACGAGTCTTCCTAATCTAGAGTTGGGATTCACAGATAAACTTCTACCCTCAGTGACTGACTAGTCCTATAACATGTGCATTCCTTTGGTGGGGAAGAAGCATGACAAGAGAAAAAGGCAAAGGAGAGAAATGAAAAGGTTAAGAAATAAAGTAGACATGCAGAAGAGAGATCTCCCTGGGTTCTGGCAGGCTCTCAAGTTCTGGTTCTGGTTCCAAAATCTGCTGAGAAAAATCCCTAGCTTCTACTGAACAAGAATATCTAGACTTGCAGAGTCAGAATGGTTGGGAATTGAGCCTAGAAATTTAAATTTTACTATGCTCATGACTTATTCTTAAACCTATGCAAATGTGAGTGATTAGGTAGTCAAGACACTTAATTAAATTTTGTTTGTTCTGACAAAGACCTTCAAAAATGTCATATACTGCTTTCAAGTAAGTAAAGAGGGGAAAAAAGCCATGTCTTTATATAGATACTATTGCCACTAACAGTGAAGCTTATCAATGTTTTTCCAGAGACTTCAATTTTAAGCCTGGAGGTGGGAATGAGGCAGCAGAACAGGAGAAAAGACCGGCAGAGAAAATATTTGATTTTTTTTTCCTACTCAAAATTACATATTTGGAAAGATGGTCCTTTATCAATTAATACAGTATTAGGTACCAATATAATCTGCTTTAGATCAATTATAACAAATTATCTACTTTAAGAAAATGATAAACAGAAGTATTATTAAGAAGTAGAAGAGATTCAAGAAGAAAATACAAGTATATTGTGTTTCTATAATACTAGGGTTGATTTTACATAAAGTCTTTTGAAAAGCTAGTCTCATGTGCTAAGACTACAAACCAGAATTTTAATAAAAGATTACCATTTGGTGCAGTAGGAGGTGACCAGATGCCAAAATATTTTGGCAAATATTTTCGTAGTTCTAAAAGAATACTGTCACTACAATCAGCAGCATAAACCTGAAACAGATAAAAATATAACAATTGCATGTCAGTGTCTTATAGTTTCTTTTTTACTGCCCTGAGCATTTATCAAATAAAACACAATACCACCAAATCATAAGTTAATCTAGATATGAATTTTAAATGACATAAATTTGGAATAAGCGAAAAAGATTACTGGGTGTTGCCAATGAAAATCTACGTATAGCATGAGTACACCTTTCCTGCTTATCTGATTCTAGCCTTACATATTCCTTGAACTATTTTATAACGCTTTATATTATGCCAATAGCAGTGCAGAGTAATTCTTGTCGATACACATGTAAATAAATTCTAGGCAGGAGAAGTTCTAATATCTTCTACCCACCACTTTTGAGTA